CGGATTTTTTGAGTGGGGAAAAAGCTAGGAGAAAAAAAATGAAGCTTATCCTATGTTGGTTCCTTTTATAGGCAACTTGGAAATTATTTTTTTAATACCAATTCCACTCCATCATTCAACCAAATTTTTGGTTCAAATCCCCCTTTCTTGGCCGGTTTTGGAAGGAGAAAAGAAGAAGCAACTTTGCCATTAATTCCCCTTCAACCACTACCATCACATCACCTTAACATAAAGTCCTCTAGCACACTCCACTAGTCAAATGTTTGGCATTATTTTTTCATGCATGGCAGGCCAAGTGGAGAAAGAGAGAGAAAAAAATCTCACCTACCCCATTGTACTCTTGTCCACTTTCTTAAGTTTCCCTTTGAAACTGATAAAAATTATACTGACTATAAGAAAGTAACTTAGTAGACAGGAATTCGTTTCCATTTCTAACGGCTCCTTTTTCTACTGCTTATAGTTAAATGTCAAATCCTTGATTGCTTTGGATATCACATTAAATTCTTACTCGCGTAATATCTTGAACTGTTTCTAGTCTTGAAATTAATTCTAGACTGAACAAATTCTAAATTTAACTTTCTTGCGTTAATTCCCGGAAATGATGTTGTTTCTGACGGTGTCAACTCCCGAGTTCACATTGTACCCTTCTACTATGGGTATTTATCTTCTGACTTTAACCTAGCTGTCTGGCAATTAAGGATTTTCTCTTCTTTTAAAATGTCAGTGCGTTTTTTTATACACTGCTAACATCATGTTGTGTTTGGAGATTCTTGAAATTAAGATTCTCAAACTATACTTGTACTAAAAATTATTCCGCCTTAAAGTACGGCGAGAATTTATTGATCGAATTCACTTGATCGAAAACATGAACTTAACATGAAATCTGCTATAGAATTTAGGAATACAGATATTAATTCTATAAATCCTTCAGTCACATAATATTTTCTAGGAAAATTCTTGGCTTAAATAAATAAATTTTATTATTTAAAGTCTGAGATTTTCTCAATCATTATAAAATTTAACCCAAAATCTATACTCAAATTATCATAACTTAAAAATGCAACTGAATAAATCCTAAAAGTTGCGTATCAACGGGCAATGGATGAGTAAATCATGGTTGGTATAGTGCTATATTATCCAACTCACGTGTGGTTGGCCATATGCCTTGTCAAATCTCCGCCATATGCCATGACAAATCTCCGCCATATGCCATCACAATGACATCAGTTTCTAGATATTATTGAAATTTCAACTAGTTGGCCGGTCCATTCTATTGTCGTATACCTATTCGATGCTTATTCCACTAACAGCATTTAGAACATCTCCAAACAACTATAAATCAGTGGCAGTGGAAGATGAGCGGAGACAGTTGTCTCCACTCAAATTTAAAAAAACTATATATTATTTTTAAAAATTTAAAAATTTTATATTTAAATTTTATTGAAATAATATATGTCTTTATTAAAATAAATATATATTTTTATATATCTTTATTAAGATAATTTATTAAAAAAATTTAATGTACGTTTCTACTAAAATGAAAGGCTGACTCTGTTATTAACTATAATTATTGTGTCAGTAATAAATTTAATATATGAGTATGAACACGACGTATAATAATACATTGAAGAGTATATTTTACTCTTAAAATGTTAAATTTATCGTTAACACATTATTTAAAGCATTGCATAAGAGATCCTTTTTACATATTTATTGTTAGAGCAAGCCTACTAAATGCTAAGATTTGATGACGTTTTATTATTATGTGATTCCCAACGCCCCACCTTTTTTTAAAATATGAAGCACCAGACTCGGAAATAGACGAAAAGCTATCTAGAAAGTCATGTGAATTGTACACGGACAACCGATTTCCAACCAAGTTGTTATCACTTTTGGTTGTTGTAGTGTACATACATCTTCTGGAATGAAGAAAAACTTTACAAGAAAATTAACCTCATAACACGTCAGGAAAAAAAAAAAAATGAATACATATACGCTTTAGTTTGGTCTACCCTTAAGCTACTACTAGTGATCATCTGTAAATGCCAAACTTTAAATCAAATTTTATTGGATGAGCTTATCTTTTGTACTATACTTCCTTACGACATGATCCAACGTAATTATTCAAAAATAATAATAATAATAATCTTACGGAAAAAAATTAAACGAAATACTTTAACACTAGTATTTCCCTATCATAAAACTTCTTAAGAAAAAAATGTTCTTATTGTTATTGGTATCAAGAACCACAATATAATTGACTCATTTTTTTTAACTTAGAGTAGGGTTAACCTTTATATCTTGTGATGCGATCAAGCGTCGCATTACTGTTAGATTATGTCTGCAATCATCTCACTCATCTCATATTTAGTATTATTATTAGTATAAAATGTTATTGATTTACTACAGTACACCATTGCCTACAAAATTTCTAAACATTGGATGGGTTTTTTTTTTTCTTTTTTTTTTTTTAATCAGACAGTTAAGATTAAGCTTTTTCATATCAATGGATGAACTTGAAATATTAAGGTCTCGTTCATTTCATCGATTTGCGTTTTCAGTTTTAAGTTTCTACAGTAAAAAGCTTTCAGAAAATGTCACATCTAACTTTTTCTATTACAATAATAAGCTCTCAGAAAATATCACATCTCAGTTCGAATTGAAAACTCGAATTCGTGAAGTGAACGAGGCCTAAGCCTACCTACTGCTGCATCAGAAGAACAAAACAGAAAATCACGTGTCATATGATGAAAAACAATTCGTCATCACATGCTGCATAATTAAAAAAAAAAAATGCTTTAAAATTATTTGGCGCAATACCCCTTGTTTTCCATAAAGCTAATTCCAATGAGCACTAATTTCTCTGTGCACGAAGTATTCTCTATAATAAGGGCACTAAAGAGACTAGTTCTGTTCTTAATCTTCCTTTCATCAATACAAGCTTGGAAAAGTATGGACAAAAAAGTACTGTACGGTACTTTTGGCATAATTTAGAGTTCTGTTCATTTCACCGATTTAAATTTTCAATTTTAAGTTTTTACAGTAAAAAATTCTTAAAAAATATCACATTTAATTTTTTCTACTACAGTAAAAAATTTTTAAAAAATATTATATTTTAACTCAAATTAAAAACTCAAATTCATAAAGTGAATGAGGCCTAGATCCAGCGGCCATTAGTCAAAGTCTTCCACCAAGTTGTACACTTCACGTTTTGGCGATCTTTCCTTGATATGTGTGGTGGAAAATGAATTTATCATTTTTGGTCTTCGTTCAATACAGGCGTCTAATTGCCCAACTTTATTAGCGGAGCTCTTTCCTGGAAACTTTGATTATTCCAATCTTCACGTCATATGCAAATACATGTCATATCTGTCTTGTTACCTTTGATAACAACTCCAAACTTCACAGAAATACTTAGATCTCATTTAGATTTAAATTTTCAATTCGAGTTGAGATGTGATATTTTTTAAAAGTTTTTCACTGTAATAAAAAAAATAATTAGATGTGATATTTTCTGAGAGTTTTTAACTGTAGAAACTTAAAATTGAAAACTCAAATCGATAAAATAAATTATGGCTTAATGATTAACTTGTAATATTTTGGTTTCTTGCCGTATAAACCTAGAAGTTCAAAATATACGCAAAGATATTGAGCAAATTAAATAAAAGCAGTAAAGAACTAATTAAACAAACATGGGTTTGGTTTGGATCTTGTGTAGAAGTAGAATTAAAACAAATTATTTTCTTAAAAAAAAGAAGAAAAAAAAGTCAACCAGTTGGTTTTTGAGCAGGCTTATCTGAATTAGATCAATTTGGATTCTCTCAAATCCAGAGGGTAGAAAAATATGTACAAGGATCTTTTCTTCAAGCAATAAATGAATATCTAATACTAGTATACTACATGTAATTTTTGAATGGTTGGCTTTATACATCATTAAGTCTCCGTTGACCATTAATATCTGTAGGTCCCCTATCAGAAAAGTGGTGACATTTGTGTTCCTCCAATCATCATCACAAAAGAGCTCAAAATTTTCTCAATAAGTTGGCAACTTTGCCGTTGGTTTTCCCACCAGATCCATAGCCTGATTGTGAAAAACATTAGACACAAGACATCTCCCAAAATGGTCAGCTGAAACAGAACTGAAAAACCAAAAAACCAAAAGGCCAAAACCCAAAAAAACCAGAAACCTCCCAATCTCTTCAAAATGACTAAAACAAACCAGAAATATCTCACAATCCCATTTCACATCTTTATCTTCCTCATCTTTCTCAGCCATGGAGTGCTCTCCCAAACACTCCAGGAACAAGAACAATCAGTCCTTTTGAAGCTAAAGCAGCACTGGGGAAACATTTCCTTCATGGATGAGTGGACCCCATCAGACAATTCTCATTGTTCTTGGCCTGGAATCACCTGCACGTCCAATTCCGTCAAAGGGCTGTCACTCAACAATGTGAATATCACTGGACCCGTTCCATCCTTCATTTGTGACTTGAAGAATCTCGCAACCATTGATCTTGGGGATAACTATATCCCAGGAGAGTTTCCAAGAGCTGTTTTCAACTGTTCAAAGCTCGAAGCTTTGGACCTCTCTGAAAACTACTTTGTTGGAACGCTTCCCGATGACATTGACAAACTGGCTAAGCTCCAAAGTCTAGTCCTCGGAGGTAATAACTTCACTGGTGATATCCCACCTGCTATTGGGAAGCTGCAAGAGCTTAAGGTCCTGGCCTTAGGAGGCAATCTGTTTAATGGCTCGTTACCACCAGAAATTGGTGACTTGTCAAATCTTGAAGATTTGTGGTTGGCCAATAATAATCAGCTTGTCCCTTCAAGGCTGCCTTCCAGTTACACCCAGCTGAGGAAGTTGACAAATCTAGAAGTTTCCAGCTCAAACTTGATTGGGGAGATACCGGAAAGTATTGGAGACATGGAAGCATTGGAATGGCTGGATTTATCCCGGAGTGACTTGCATGGAAAGATCCCCGACGGGTTGTTCATGTTGAAGAATTTGAGCATAGTATTCCTTTTCAAGAACAAACTGTCTGGTGATGTTCCTCAAGTGGTTGAAGCTCTGAACTTGAAGATAATCGATCTTTCGGAGAACAATTTGGCTGGAAAAATACCGGAAGATTTTGGGAAGCTAACTAAGTTGACAGGCTTGGCCTTGTTTTCCAATCAATTATCAGGCAGTATACCGGAGGGCATAGGCAGATTACCAGTCTTGGTAGATTTCAAATTGTGGGACAACAATCTCACGGGCGTGTTGCCTCCGGATTTGGGCAAGTACTCAAATCTCAGAGAGTTCCAAGTAAGCTCCAATAGGCTCTCAGGGGAGTTGCCACAACATTTGTGTTCCAATGGTCAACTGGTTGGGGTGGTGGCTCATGAGAACAACTTCACTGGGGAGCTTCCTGAATCACTGGGAAATTGCAACTCATTGGAAATGGTCAAGGTTTCAGATAACAGGCTTTCTGGGAAAGTTCCTAGTGGCCTGTGGACAGCCTTGAATTTGAGTTATGTGACGATGAGCAACAACTTATTCAACGGTACGCTTCCTGAGAAGTGGTCCCCAATTCTTACAAGATTGGAAATCAGTAACAACAACTTTTCAGGTAATATTCCAATTGGTTTGGCTTCATTAAGGAACTTGGTGGTGTTTAAGGCCAGCAATAACCTCTTGACAGGTGCCATTCCTCAAGAACTAACCACTTTTCATCATTTGACAAATCTTTTCCTTGATCAAAACCAGCTCACAGGGGATCTTCCATCTGATATAGAATCATGGGATTCCCTAAATACTCTTAACCTGAGTGGAAATCAACTCTCTGGACAAATTCCTGAGAAGCTCGGTTTCTTGCCTACTCTTACAGACTTAGACCTCTCAGAGAACGAATTTTCGGGCCAAATTCCACCCCAACTTGGTCTTCTAAGGCTAATTTTTCTCAATCTCTCTTCCAATGACCTCTCCGGAACAATCCCGAGTGCATTGGAGATCGCTGTATATGCCAACAGTTTCTTGAACAATCCTGGTCTTTGTTCTAGTAATAATGTCTTACAACTCAAGTCCTGCAATCCAAAATCTCAAAATGACAATATGTCAACACCCTATCTTGTTTTGATCATAGCACTAAGTGTTGCAGCATTTTTGTTGGCCGTGTCCTTCACATTCATCATAATCAGATGCTACAGGAGCAAACACGGACTCGATCCGAAATGGAAGCTCACCTCATTCCAGAGGCTGAATTTCACAGAATCAAACATTGTGTCCGGTCTAAGTGATCACAACCTGATTGGGAGCGGCGGCTCTGGAAAAGTTTACCGTGTTCCCGTGAACCGTCTAGGCAATGTTGTTGCTGTAAAGAGAATATGGAACAACAAAAAGGTAGAACACAAACTCGAGCAAGAATTCCTTTCGGAAGTCAAGATACTGAGCTCAATCCTACACACCAACATAGTGAAACTCCTATGTTGCATATCCAGCGAGAGTTCGAAACTCCTTGTCTACGAGTACCTAGAAAACCGAAGCCTAGACAGATGGCTGCACAACAAAAACAGGCAAAATATGATCTCAGCTGCTCGTTCTGTCCATCCCGGCATTCTTGACTGGCCCAAGAGGTTGCAAATCGCGGTGGGGGCTGCACAGGGTCTCTGCTATATGCACCATGATTGTGTCCCACCAGTTATTCACAGAGACATTAAAACAAGTAACATATTGCTAGACTCGGATTTCAATGCGAAAATCGCTGATTTTGGACTGGCCAGGTTGTTGGTCAAGCAAGGAGAACTTGCCACAATGTCAACCGTGGCTGGTTCTTTTGGCTACATGGCTCCAGGTAACCTCACACGCATGTACTTTCGCATAATCACCAATCATATGACAGATTTCCTAGTGGCCTGTGGACAGCCTTGAATTTGAGTTATGTGACGATGAGCAACAACTTATTCAACGGTACGCTTCCTGAGAAGTGGTCCACAAATCTTACAAGATTGGAAATCAGTAACAACAGATTTTCAGGTAACATTCCAATTGGTTTGGCTTCATTGTCAAATTATTATGCTAAAACTCACAGTTTTACATGGAGTTAGTAATGAGTCAAGTTTATGCATTAATCTTGACATTTTATGCTTTGAATTTTCAGAGTATGCTCATTCGACAAGAGTGAATGAGAAGATTGACGTTTACAGTTTCGGGGTTGTCCTCCTGGAGCTAGCAACAGGCAGAGAAGCAAACAGCGGTGACGAACACACTTCCCTAGCCGAATGGGCGTGGCGTCACGTTCAAGATGATAAGCCCATAGAAGATGCCTTGGACGAGGAGATAAAGGACCCGATTTATGTGGAAGAAATGAGCTGCGTTTTCAAGCTGGGGATCTATTGTACGACTACTCTGCCTTCCACTAGGCCTTCCATGAAAGATGTTCTGCAACTCCTGCTCCGGCATAGTCGGCAGATGGCTAATGGCGAAAAGTTTGTTGGGACCGAATATGATGCCGCTCCACTACTCAAGAACTCAAAGCGTGAAAGGAGTTTGGAAGATGATGACGGCATTTTTGCAAGCAATGTGTGATACCCCTTGAATGCTTCACAGAAGGTTAAAAGTAGCGTATGAGTTTGTAATATTAGTAGTATGTAATATTAGTAGAGAAAACTGTGTAGATCGTTTTAGAGCAGAGCTTGATTTTGTAATATTAGTAGAGACTAGAGGAAGGTGAAGAAGCGTTGAGTTGGGAAGAAACAAAAGATTCAGACGTTAGATGCAGCAGCAAGAAGAATGAGAATATTCTATCAGTGTCGCGCAGTTCTCGACGTCAATTTTTATCTGAATCGGATCAATAATGGAAAAAATAAACAAATTTAACAGAACTTGATGCTATAAAAATCAGATCAATAATGGAAAAAATATACAAATTTAACAGAACTTGATGCAAATTGGACGGTCTAAAGCAGCGTACTATCAATAGTTTTTTTTTTTTTTCCTCTTTTTTCCCCCGTTTGGTATCCGATAATAGAATTAACCAAGAACGAAACTGGCCACTGTAACTCTTGAAGAAACTTCTCTGGTCTTGAGAGGTTTGAAACAGAATATAACTTGCTGCAACTTGTACAATATACCATTACAAGGCATTTTGACTGTTTCTGAACTGTTCATTCGAACTTTAAGATCGTGAATTCAATCCTAAATTGGTACGGCAACATCGAATCTCATAACTGGTAGGTTTAGGATTCAGTTCAACAATTAAACCCCCACCAAAAATAGCGTTAAAATTTGCATAGAGAAAAAAAAAAGAAAAAAAAAGGAGAGAGAGGGTTGAATCACAAAATTCAATTCCACGAAATTCTGAATAAACCATAGCTTAACAGGCGAAAGTCAACTCTGGGGATACTATAAGCTAGATGATATCCTAATTCATAATTGGGAGCTGAAGACTGTAGGTTTCAAAGCATTAGATAGGTCATAACTTCTAACTTAAGATCGCACCACAAACTGCCAGACCATGAAAAAACAAAGTAAGGTTGAGGATGTAAAGGATGGAAGGTTAAACATATAGAAAAACTGAAAAACTGATCATATAAAAAAGAATAAAGATTTCTAGTATCCATAAACCCCCTGTTTTATTTGCACAAAAATAGGTAAGAGGGTATGTTCCGCAAAAAGAAGTTGACTTCTCCAGGAACAGTTTACATCCCCCAATTTTATTCAGTAAGCGAGAAGAAATGAACTTATACACTGGCACAACATATTGCCATAACATAAACAAACAAGCGGAATACAGGCTGGAGAAGGGGAAAACCTTAAAGCTGGCTGCCCACTCCGACTGCATACTTGGACCGTTGCCGATTATGTCCTCCATAAGACCATATATAAAAGGCTAAAAGGCTTGTCAGTCGAGATCTCTCTTCTCAAAGTTGAGAGATGAGAAGAGATCTTATATAATTTGAGAGGAAGTTGTAAAGATCTTAAACGGGAAAGTATCTGTAACTTGAGTGGAAAAGTTACAGATCTTAAACGATTCTTTGTTCATCATCATTTCTCTTATTTTCCTTAGAAACTTGAGTGGTAAAGCATTGTAAGGGAAAACGCTTAATCCTAAATAAGATCTTAAATAGGCCCACATATTTTAAATAAGAGTATTAAATGGTTAAAAATAATTCAGCTTTAAGAGCTAGGTTAGCAGACAGTTTTTTTAAGAGTTAACCGTTAAAAAGATGTACCTTTATTGGTAAGAGGTCAACTGTTCTAAGAAGCCACAAAGAATAAATATGATGTCGATCATACCCTCAATTGTAGGTGAAGAGACTTCTGCAAGCGTTTACAAGGTTGAGACCACACAAAAAGATGAGATACGCAAGATTTGTTCTAAGATTTACTATTTGTAATTAAATCTATGAAATTTAAATAGGAAACCATCCTGATTAATGGTAATCTTTATTTTTTAAGAAACTATCTTAAAAGATAAGAGAAATATTTTGAATTCAAATAAGGAAAATGATATGAGCGGTGATTATGAGTATAAATAAGGAATTATGAGTCAAAAAATCCCGAAGTCTTATTCTGAGGATTAGTGAGTGTATTCTCTTTCAAAATAGTGAATTTCCCTTCCTCCCTACAATGAACGTAGTTCTCAAACGAAAGTGAAACACTATAATTATTGTGTGTTCTTACTGTTTAATTAATTTTAACTTGAGTTTGGGCTAAAATCTGAGTTCAAATTTTTTCTTCAACTCAAGTTCTTAAACTCAAACTCAAGTTAATGAACAATATTTTTTCTATTATTAAAAACGTCATAACTTTTTTGTTTTAATTTCAATTGAGATGATTTTTTTTATGCGTTCACAACGAAAAGACGAATAAAACTCCACCCATATACCCCTATTAAAATTTTTCATCACCATTGAGTTTTTATTAAAATACTATTTAAATATAAATTTAACTTTTGACTCACTCAAATAGATTTTCAATTCAAATCATAACTTAAATGTGTACATCTAAATACAAACTCAAGTTACAACTTCAACTTAAATTATAATTTAAATTTAACTCAAAATCTATACTCAAATCATCATAACTTAAAAATGCAACTGAACAAGCCCTAAAAGTTGCGTATCAACGGGCAATGGATGAGTAAATCATGGTTGGTATAGTGCTATACTAGTGTGTAACCCGTGCATTTGCACGGTGGTATAGTTATCAATGAAAACATTATTTTAATCTATAATTATAAATCTTACAGATAAATTATTAATACATATTTGAAATAAATATATAAGTTATAATTAACTATCACAAAAATGTATTATTCCTATTATGTTTCTGTAGAGTATTATCGAATAATAAACATGAAATTAATAAATAACTCATAAAAAAACGCTTACATATTAAAACGTGGATATAAATATATAAAAATTGTAGAACTTGTAATTTTTTTTAATAAATACATAATAACATATAACTCTTATCATATTTAAGTGGTTAGAAATTATTCTTAAAATTTATAACGATAATTTTATTTAATATAAAAACTAGAGTCTATAATAAACTATGTGTATAAATTGTACATCTTAAAAAAAACGTTAAATAAAATGTATTCAATCATCTTTTCATATGTTATCTTTATGAAAAAATATATTAAGTAACAAAACACATTTTGTATAAAATATAAATAAAATATGCAGTGTAACGTTGAAAATCTCACTTTTATATTCAAGAGAAAACCGCGCTAACGAATAGCCAAGCGTACAGATTTTTGTTCTTTTTTTTGTTTAGAAATATAACTCTGAACAAAACGTCAAATCTGCTAGAAATTAAAAAAAAAAAAAAACTATGAAACCACTATTACTTTAAAAAATACAATATATGGCAATTGTTGTAGAAAGAAAGAAAAAATTAATACACATAATTTATTACATTACGTTTACTTTAATAAACAAATTAGATACAATTTTTTTCTCCGTAAATAGAAAAATATACATTCTTTACATATATCAACTAAATAAATAAGAGAAAAAAGCCGGAAAAAATTAGAATAAAACAATAATATTGAAGTAAACAAACAAAACATGACATAGAATTCATAAATGTCACAAAAATATTTAAATATATAATAAATTTCTTTATCTAGGAAACATTTTTTTTACATATATAAATAAAACATATAAGGTTCATATATTTCCTTTAATCTGCTAGCAACATATATCATCAATAATTTAAACATGACTTGACAATGTC